CTCTAACCCAATCCCCCTCCTTCCCCCCAGAGCCAGGCACCCCATCTCCCCGGCTCTAACCCAATGCACCCACCCCTCCCCCAGTGCCAGGCTCTGCGAGCTCCCTCTCCCCCCACCCCCACTCTAACTCAATGCCTCGGTCCTGGAGTCACCTCTGTCATGCGCTTCTCCCTCCAGACGCTGGGGTGCATGCGCAGAGCGGTCGGCCGTGAGCAAGCACTGGGGCGCATGCACAGAGCGGCTAGCCGTGTGGTTCAGAACGAGCAAGATCAGCATTTCTTTAAACAAAGAGCCACATGTGGCTCGAGAGCCAAGGGTTGGCCACCCCTGCACTACTTGATAGGGACATCGGCTTGTGGAGAAGTGACGAGAAATGGCTCCATGCACTGCCATTTCCCCCTAGCATGGCACAGCAGCAACAGCTTCCTCCTCCCCAGACCCCCAGTAGGGCATATAGGTGACTCCATTGGAGCACGACTTCTGGCCACCATGTCACCCACTGCCCCACCACTGCATGCTGCGCAACCTCTCTTCCCCTGTGGGACCACCTCTGGTGTGCGGGGTCCCGGTCCAGCTGCGCCACCTCCTCTCACACCAAGCGGCTACTTGATCTTTGTTACAGCGGCCACTGCTGCTAGGGGGAGGGGAGGCTGGGTCTGAGGCAAAACACGCTGAGGAGCCGTTCTCAGACCGTGGCACTTTGGAGCTGCCGCCTGAGCCTTGGCAGGGGCCACGTGGAGCCCAGCTGGGGCACTGCAGGGTTCTGTGCCGCCACTTTCTCCCTCCCTATCCCCCGGGGTAGTGTGCAGTGTGCTGGGTCTGGTAGGAAGGTCAGGGTTCCTTCCCCAACTCCCTTGTGCCAGGATCCCCCTGCAGAAGGAGGGGGGAGTTCCCTCCCCCTTCCCACCCTGCTGGGGGAACGGCAGTGCGCTGTCCGGAGGGTTTCCCTTCTGCAAGGGACTACGAAGCCAGGTAAGCATCCCCCCTTGTGCCCAGACCCCCACACTTCAACCCCTGTCACTCATCACCCCCCTCCACCGCCGCCAAGACCTCGCACTCCCAGCTCGCTCCAACATCCTCTGTTGCTCCCCTGGCCAGAAACCATCCCTGCTGGCCAGACACCCTACCCTCAGCCCGTTCCTGCATCCTCCTTTGCTCCTGTATCTCCCCCCTGGCCAGACACCTACTCCCACCCTGCATCTGCATTCACAGTTGCTCCTGCACCCTCCCTCCTGGCCACAAACTGTACCCTCCCTTGCTCCTGCTCACTTCTCCTGGACAGACACCCTTCTCCCAAGCCTGCTTCTGCACCTTGCAAGATCTGGGCGGAAGGTATCCCATCCCTATCCCATTCACTGGCCACCTTGTCCCGCAAACTGAACTTCTCATTTTCCCTGCATCTGCATTCACAGTTGCTCCTGCACCCTCCCTCCTGGCCACAAACTGTACCCTCCCTTGCTCCTGCTCACTTCTCCTGGACAGACACCCTTCTCCCAAGCCTGCTTCTGCACCTTGCAAGATCTGGGCGGAAGGTATCCCATCCCTATCCCATTCACTGGCCACCTTGTCCCGCAAACTGAACTTCTCATTTTTGCCTCCATAAAATCTACTGACTCCAGAACCCCAGAAAAGTAAATCTGGCCTATGGAAACCTCAGTCCTCCCTGTCCCTTCCCCTCACCCTATGGGGCTGGAGCACCAGACGAGTGAAGTGTCTCAGTTGGGGACACATCAATGAGGGTTGGGGGGTTTTTGAAGGAGTTGTTTTGCTTCTCACTTGTGTGGTCCCCAATTGATTTTTCTGTGGGTCCATGGCCCCCAAAACAAAAAGGGTTCCCCACCCGTCATAAATAAAGAAAACATTGAAACCTTTTGTGTTGGACATAAATTATTTTACTTTATTTAAAATGAAATTTGATTAACATGAGAAAGTTAAAATGCTTAGCCTGTTTAATAATTTAAATTAAACCTTGCTCCCTACATGCAGCACTAGCAAAATGACTCAGGCGTAATTATATAATTAACAGTGAATTTCCATTAGCAACTGGTGGTCCGCAGAAAGGTCTGCATTGAGCCAGGTGGTCTATGGGTGCATGGCTCAGGGCAGGAGGGTTAAATCTTGACATGTCACTTCAGAGAGGCTGCAGACCCCTGCTCTAGACTGACAGCTAACTACTCTATTTGGGATTCAACTGTGAATTTAAATACCTGATCAAAAAAACAACACTAAAATGACTAGCATACCTGAAAATGCTTGAACACCATAATCTGAGCCTTCACTGTCTCTTCCAAGCTTAACTGGAACTTAAGTTCCAATGAAATAATACTTATTGCTGGAGTTGTCAGCAACTATTTAACTGAAATACAACAAAAGGCAAGAAACAGTATATAAAAAAATCTCCATTTAGTAGTGTTTTAAGAATAACCATTCTTTACAAAAGAATCAGAGTTCCCATGCTACAGCATATCCCACTTTCAGAAAATAATCTTTTCAAAATGTAAGCACATTCTTCTCCTAATATGGCTTGACTAAAAAGAACTTGCACGCTCAATATTACCTGTTCCATAAACTCCCTTTGCATGACCACTCCATCTGTCTTGAGTTACTTCTTCAGTCCTTAAACAAATTGGATCAAACGTCTGCTACTTCCTAGATATCACTGAATGTTCTGAAGCCCTCAGAATGTCTATAAAGTTGTATGGAAAACACATATAAAAGCCCACAAACACCACATCACAAGAACTTAACACTCAAGCAGTAGTAGTATTTGTAAGTGTGTTAATTACCAAATACCACTTGCCAATTCAGAATTCCTTTAAGTTAGAGCACTTTTGTGTATTCAAATACTTCGTAAAAATTCATCACAATACTGTTATTTCATCATTTACATGCTTGAACTTTAGGCCTTATACATATACAACATTTTGAAAACAGAAAATAAAGGAAGTGTAAAAACCTATAAGGGTAATCCTGAAAATGTTACTTGGGACTACTGAATTTCCACTGACTTCTGGTTCAAAGGCTGTAAAAAACTAATTATTTTGACTCTGCCAAAACACACAAGACTTTTGATTTTTTGCTATAACTTCAGTAACCCATTCAAGCATCATTAACAATTGTTCAAATTGTTTGACCACCTTATGGTAGAGAGAGAAGACTATGATTTTAAGGTATTTCTAAAAGTAAGAGACAGAACCAATTCTCAAGCCTGTTTCCTGACTGAAGGATTGATATGACTAGCAGAAAAGCAATAGTGAAGTCCCCACCCAGATCCAACAGAAACGTCCTTTCAGAGATTTGTACCTACAGTTCTCAACATAGTTTATCGCAATTCTGGTTTCAATAACAGTAAAACTAATTTTAAAAATACTGCCTGTATAGTTAAGATTAAATTAGAGAGCTAATCCCATGTGCTTTTTCAATTACAGGATTTTTTTTCTATAATTAAATCCTGATCACAATATTGACTAAAATAAGTATTTTGACTGCTATTTGTATTAAATAGGAAAAGACATCTCTGCCATTCTCACTGCATTTCAGCCTGGACTGTTTGAAGCAGTAAGTATGCTTCTATTATCCCAAAAGCATCTATAAAACAATAACACTTTTAAAAAATATATAGACTCCAAACAACTTCCTTATATGTGTTCAAGGTCTAAACCCCTCCTGCTCTACAATTTGTTAAAATATATAGAGATTTCTAGTCAGCAGGCAAAATGCTGTGTTGATAATTTTCTTGTTTCTTAAACTAAAAGTCATTTTTTATTAATTTGCTTTAAAAAAAATGTAGAAAACTACCTACACTTTACCACATTTGAAAGTGTGTTATGGTTTGAACAGTGAATGCCTAAGTTACAGCACTATTCGTGTAAAAAATAAAATACATAAATTTGCCAAATGTATGATGAAATAACCATGCGGCTTGCCAATGGAAATCAGACTAGTACCATAGAGAATTTTATGTTTTCTATTGACTTTTAAAATACATGCAAAAAAGGGAAAGGCTGCTAATAATGAAATGAAATTTGAATCTGCTTTCTAAAGCCTAAGTAGATACGCTCCTCCTGCAATAGTAAGAAAAAAAATTGAAATTATATCTTCACTACTGACAAATAAATCTTATCCTTAGCATTAAACATTTTAAGTGTAGATGGGCGTTCATATGCACTAGAGACAACATTAGCTGAAGTACTCCAGCTGTCTGTTAAAATTAAACAACCTAAACATCCAATATCTTAAATACTTTGCTCAAACATTGATTTACACCATTTAATTGTGATTAACCACGTCTTCCCAAAAAACGCCTGTCACCCTAAACACCATGGATTACAGAACACAAACTGCACGTACTTACTCCTCAAGCCCGTCGTTGCCCACAAGTGACACAGGAAAAGAGAAGAGCCATTCCTACCGCAGTTACGAGGAAACAAAAATGTCTTAGCAGCCCGGGACCCACCCGTCATCTCTTCCAAGCCAGTGGCTCCAGTACCATTTCTCCAAGGCTGTCTGCACCCGCAGCCATTGAGATGAAAACCCCAGTCTGGCAGAACGAACTGCAGCAATCCCACGTCTCCTGAGGGCAGAAGCATCCCCCCGGGAGGACACGGAGGGCAGCCCCCCCCTTTCCAAGTCGGAACCCGCGGGCCGGTCTTTGGGGACAAGGAAACGCAGCCCGGTACCCGCCTCAGCGGAGAGGAGCCTGCTTGGGGGCGGGTCGTTCCTAG